GATTTCGTGTGTCAACTTGACTGGGTCCCAGATGCCCAGATTTAAAGGATTTGGGTGTTTCCAGACAAGACCAGCGTGAGAATGGGCGGCCGGAGCCTCCCAAGTGTGGATGGGCATCACGCAACCCCTGGAGGCCTGAGTAGAACAGAAAGGTGGGGCAGGAGGGCGTCCTCCTGTCTGACTGCCTGACTGGGACACCGTCTTCTCTGCCCTTGGATGGCACTCGCCCCTGGCCCTCCTGGGTCTCCAGCTGGCAGATGGCAGATAGGGGCCTTCTCAGCCTCCACAATCCTGTGAGCAGACTCCTCGTGATGTCTCCTTCTATATCTGTCTCTGCGGAGAGTTATGTATGCGTACACACCTCCTGTCGGTTCTGTTCCTCCAGAGAACTCCGACCAACACACTGTCTGACAGAAGGAAGGAAAACAGTCTGTCAGCCCACCCGCGGAACTAGCAGGTTCTCTGTAACGTGACTTTCACTGGCACATGAAGCTCTAAACCCAAGTTCTCTCTTCACACAAACGGATGCGCAGTGTGGACATAGAGTTCCTGTCAAACCTCTGGTATCAAATGCTGGACCGATTTAAATGAAGCTCTGCATCCACGGTGACAATCACAAACGCCACGTGGAGCAAAGCGATTAAGGTGGTTAACCTGTGAGGGTTCAGGACTGGGGTGCTGCAGGCACGGAGTGTATGCGGTGCACGTGTGTGCGTGCAGTCTGCACCCACACCTGTGGTGTTCCTGCTACCCCGTCTTACACTAGTGTGTGCACGTGCATATGCGCTCGCAGTCTGCACCACCTGTGGTGTTCCCGCTACCCCATCTTACACTAATGTGTGTGCGCGCACGTGTGCACGCAGTCTGTACCAACTCCTGTGGTGTTCCTGCTACCGTCTTACACTAGTGTGTGCGTGTGTGATCGCAGTCTGCACCCACACCTGTGGTGTTCCTGCTACCCCATCTAACCCTCAGATTATCTACTGTACAAATGCTCTTACAAATATTTCAGATGATAAATTTCCAGGCTGAAAGAATTTTAGATAAGTTTTTCTTTTGCTTTTATTACAAGCATATAATATTAATTGGCAAAACACTGAATACAAGCTTCACTATCATAAAATCAAAACTTTTAAGCAATATTCCAAAAAAGATTTTAGACAAAAACTAGCCACCAATAGTACAAAAATTACACACCAACACAAAGCATAAAAAATGTAAACTTTCAAATTAAACAGTCAAAAATATGTATCTGCATTGTCATCTCCATAAATCACGACAGCTTCCACGTTGCCACATGTGGCGAGCAGGCTCAGCGCCGATCTCGCCTCTGAGCCCACATTACTGGGAAGAAATGGTTTTCTTATACCCAATCAAGTTGTTGGACAGACATTTACACTAATGCTACACACGTTGGGGGCACTCACACTCCAGTCCATCCTTCAGATGCACTCGTGGACATGGTGAGTTACACACGACGCCCTGCCCAGGCTGGCCGTGCCACACCCACTCGTCTGGCAGGGATCTTTGTTGAGACTACAGTGTAGTTTGAATGATGGTTTTCTAATCTACTTATCCCAACTTATTTACTTAGTTTGTTTCAATACCAAGGCAGAGAAACGCATCGGTTTATCACCGAAGGTCACATGTGATGCGGTGAAGTGTAAATGGTTTCCTGAGGAAATAGAGAAACTGGATTTTTTTGTGATTTAGCCATCTGCACTAAATTTATCTTCAATGTTTTGAGAGCACACCAAATACTCACATACAAGGCCCAAACCAGCTGGCTTGTTCCTATCCAATGACACATTTCAAATCATTGTAAAATCCATCCTGTGCGCTTTGAGGAAAAGAACCAAACGAATTTCTAAAGACTTCGAATGCCACGAGGAGGCATCAGAAGCCGCACGCCCTGGAGGGCTCAGGAGCCCTGGGCAAGTAGCACCATCACATTTGTGGTCGATACGGGGTGGTGCATCCAGGGCTGTGAGCAAGCGGGTCTCAGGGCACGAGCCCCGGGCGGCCATGAGGCTGGTCTAGGATGGCGTCACACGTCACTTCACGCTGCCTGCCCCGTCATGTACTTCTAAATATTGCTGACAGGTATTCTTACACAGGCACACGCACACGCACAATCCCAATAACAGCATTCCTATAATAGTAACAATGAGAAAGGAAAAACCAAATGGCTGAATGTACATCTTTTGAAGTTCCACCTACATTTCCTTTCAATTTAGCAGAATAGATGCTACATTACAATTTAAACATCTGTCTAATAAACGCATGTTGGAACCTATTGCACAAAAGCATAAACAATGCTCTTCATCCATATAAAATAAAAACATACAAATTAAAAGCTACTCAAAGTAAAAAGAAGAAGCTTGCAAAACATCTCACAATTTCATTTTATATGCCTGTAAATAAAGCTGGACCACTGAAACCAAACAATTGGATGGGAAAATATGATAGAAGGCTTAAAATAGAATAAATAATTTTATAAAGTTTTCTTTTTTTAACCCCCCAAATCTTAAATTCAATATTATATATTCTATCTGAATTTTCTATTTTCATGAAAATGGTGTCTAGTGAGACCGTGTGCTGGGTGAGGTCCCACCGCTGCTGCCGTGACGCAGGACGTAACTGAACACTAGCTTCACCAGCACCACAGTTGTGAAACTCCTTCACAGTAACTCCATCTGTTAAAAAAAACCTTAATAGGATCCAATCATTAACCGATCCTGGCTTTCACGCTGGAAAAAATAAAATTCAGCCTTTTGATGTTAAATGAAAGCACAACAAAATGAAGGAGACCCCAGAAGCTTCCCCGTGATGGCAAGGTTCACCAGGCTCGAGTCTTGATAAGGCCGTGGTCAGACCCAAGAGGCCAGAGGTCACCAGGGATCGTCCTGTAGTGAAGACGGTCTGCAGGAGGAAATCTTAGAAAAATAGGTACTTTTGCTGCTGAGGTTTCATCAGGTTAACACGGTTACAAAAGCAGGTCACACAGGAGGGGTGAGTGACCAGCGGGAGATGTTGACACTGGCTCCGACACATCTCCACCTCTCTGTATATTTAAATATATCAACTTAGCACCATAGCAAATTCAAGTGATTTTGAAGATAGCTACAAAGTTACAAATATATATTATGAGATTATTACAGCAATATTAAGTTTAATCTGAACTGTGAATTAATTTTATTTGAATTTGGATGCTCATACTGTTTAATCCTTCCTTACTTTCACCACACAGGAAAATACCTAAATTCTAATGTTTACACTTAAAACTGCATTGTGATAACATGGTTTTACAGAATGCTTCAGCAGTAAGATATCTTTTGAGGTAGACAGGTAATATTTGCTCACACACATCTACTCAATAAACCTTGCAGAATAACTCTAAATATGATTTGGATGAATAGCAAGCTTAGGTAATTGAATAATTCAAACGGCACTGGGAGTTAACGGGCTTAAATAAAGAGGTGAATTTTGACCAATTCCTAACAAAGAACTTGTTTTTATGTTTTTAAAAGGCTTTACATTAAAATCACTTGGATTGACTTAATTTGGATGTTCTCATCACTAACACTAGGTCTCATCAGTAGCTGCTTCTGACATTTATGTATATGAAACAGGAAGCAGAAGAAACAGGAAACAAAACTGAATGTCGATGAGCCCAACTTCAACTTTCAAAGCAAATTCAGGAAAAAATTCTAGTTACTGAGGTGAAATACTTCGTGGAAAATGCAGCCCTCAGGGCCACCATCAGAGACCCGGCCCCTGACAAGGGCAGTGGGTGGACAACTCCCGCCAGGAGGGAGGAGGACCGGAAGCTCACCCATAATCAGTGGACACGCGGGGGAGGTGACAAGAAAGCTCCAGGATGCACTGCGACTGCTCCTGTGACTGCTCCAGAGCAGGGTCCTGTCTCCTTGCTCCTGCCTTTACACAATTTTAAAGGAACAGATATCTATGTGCTGGCAAAGAGTTTATTCTCTGATTCCACAAAAATACTACCATTTGGGAGGAGGAGGCTGTGACTGGTGCTGTAGGTCACCAAGTCCCTGGAAAAGCAGCCTCTGCCGCACGGGAGCCCACTCCTCCGGCCACCCCGCTGCCCACCCGCTCCTGTGTTCTGCCCATTAACAACGGCCTCAAAGTGTGCGAGCAATCTCCATGAGCCTCCACGAGAGAGGAGGGAGGGCAGGAAGCCGGCTGCCTTCTGGCGGTGGCTGTGGTGGGAGCCGGTGTCACCTGCAGCTGTGGGAGCAAACACCTTCACAGGGCAGCAGCCCCCCGCCCGACGGATGGCACCGTCTTAGGGCCCTGGGCCCCTCCACGAGCGCCACCATCTCTCTCTTCAGCAGAACGAAAATGGGAGAGAATAAGTAAGAAATTAAATGAGGGCATGGAACAATTTGTGCCCTGTTTAATAAGCCATTTTTTAGAACAAGAATTGTTCAGTAAACCAGTGGTAAGCTGGTCAAACCACCCCTGGTCACCTTGCTGGGCATGCTGGGGACGGCGAGCACCAAGTCTCAGCCGTGTCCATGTTCAGGGGGCAGCGGGATGGAGCCCTCCCTGCTGAAGGGCCACCTGGTTCCCAGTGTGTCCGCAGAGCAGTGGAGGCCGAGGCTGCCACGCCGCACCAGGCGAGTCAGGGGAGCTGCTGGCCTCGTTACATTTTGAAAATTAAATACCGTGGTTGACTCATAATATTAATGGAAGCCTCTTTTGGTATGCTTTTAAATTAAATTTTTATGTATCTTTGAAGTCTTCAGAAAGCTAAAGGCAACATAAATATCATTCACCATGAAAAGATATTTTTCAATAACTTATGAAGGATTCAATGAACATACAAGTATTTTTGAGGCTTATTGTGAAACCTAATTCATAAACTAAACTGAAACGACCAAGATTTTCAAGACCCGGAAAGCGAGCAAAGGTCCCGCGTGTCAGGACAGAGCATGTGCGCTGCTCCTCTGGTCGGGAAACCCGGGCGACAGGAGCTGCCAAGCGACGTGCGGCTGTGAAGCGTTTCATCATCTGTGACGTGGTGCTGGTAGTGTCTGCTTGAGTGGGAATTCTCTCTCATACAAAAGTTATAAATACTCTCTATTCAGAAGTCTGGTCCACACGACACCCAGAGGCAACATTCTCAAGCGTGGTCGTGGGCCTGCCCGGCCACGTGCTCGCCTGGGCCCCGGGTGCGAGGGCCGCGTCCCGCTGCGCCGCCCGCCTCTCACAGCAAGTCCATCTTGGGTCTGTAATGCAGCAGAAGCGGCGCCTTCTGTAAGACAAACCGGCAGAGCTGCTCTTAGCAGGGAGGGCGTGAGGACAGACGGGCACAGCCAGACTCACAGGAAGAGACCAGGCCACGAAGCGTGTCTGAAACATGCTGCGGACACACTCGCCTCAGCTGTGACGAGCAGTCAAGAGGGACGGAAGCTGAGAGGAACAAGCCCCGTGCTCTGGGGCCCCGGGAGCCCTGCTCCTCCACTGACCCTGCTCCTTCTCTCTGGGCCTCCTGCTCCCTCAGACCCTCAGCCCTGGTCGTGGTCAGCCCTGGCTCTCTCCCCATGCTCCCAAGGGCTCGAACGGTACCCTCCAAGGGCAGTGGCCACTCCCTCCCCAGCTCTTCGCAGGACGCTGGTCACCTTGACCAGGAGGGCTGGGGTGAGCTGTGAGCCCGGGTCTGGCGCTGCTGGGCGCTTCCTCAGGCCACGCTGACTCTGGGGTTGATGGTTTCAGAGTGACTGTGTTTCACAACGGTGCTGTGACTGAATCATTATTTCTAGGCTCTTAGAGAAAAGTATGCACAGAAAAGTAGCTGCATTTGTAGCAGACTCTGCAAGTCAAATAAAACATCACCACGAAGTAACAAGCCTCACCTTGAATCTCCACCTCGTGACAACCACAAATTTGAGTGTGTGGTCCTTGCCCAGGATCTCCTCGTTGCACAAAATGTCCAGCTGGCAGGAGAAGAAGGCTCCAGTCAGGGCCGAGGGCTCGGCACACCAGCCTCTGGTCTGCACCAGCTCCGCCAGGCCCGTCACAAGGTCGCAGTCAGCCACAGGGCTGTGCCCAGTCTCTGGGCAGCAAAGGTGGGAGGGAGCACTCGGACTGCCCCTCCCCAACCCACCCGAGAGGGCCCAGAGCACTGGGGGCCTTGTCCACTGGGGGCCTCCATCCACACCCGCCCACTGGGGGGGCCTCAGCCCACATCTGCCCATGGAGTGGGCCCTCTGTCTACACCTGCCCACTGGGGGGCGTCGGTCCACACCTGCCCAAGGGGTGGGCCCTCCGTCTACACCCACCCACTAGGGTGGCCTCCATCCACACTTGCCAACTGGGGGGGGGGTGCTCGGTCCACACCCGCCAACTGGTGGGGGGGCTCGGTCCACACCCACCATGACAGCCTCCCCCCAAGGGCTGTGGCCTCCAGGCTGCTCCCCCAGAAAGAGTATCTTGTCCTCCCACTCTCCCCACCTCAGTCCACCTCTTTGCCAAGCTTGTCCCTCTCACCTCAGTGGAAAAAGGGAATGTGCTCCTCACACGGTCTTTTTCCTTTTCTTTTTTTTAAAGAGACTATTTTAGAGCAGTTTTAGGTTCACAGCAAAATTGAACAGATGGTACAGAGTTCTCACATACCCCGTCCTCACACACACATGACCCCCCCCTGTGAACATCGCCCCCCACAGGGCACATCTGTTACAGTCAGTGAGCCTACACGGACACACTAGCATCATCCAAAGTCCAGAGTCCACAGGAGGGCTCCCTCTTGGTGTGGTACCTTCTGTGGGTCCAGACATGCCTAATGACGCGTGTCCACCACACAGGGCCTCTTCACCCTCCTCCCCACCCAACAACCACCGATCTGTTCCTGTTGCCACAGTTTTGCCTTTTCTGGAATGTTGGAATCATCCAGGGAGCAGCCGTTTCAGACTGGCTTCTTTCACTTAGTGATATGCATTTAGGGTTCCTCCATGTCTTGATAGCGCATTTCTTTTCAGCACTGAATAAGATTCTGTTGTCTGGACGTACCACACTTTATCCATCCACCTACTGAAGGATATCTTGGCTGCTTCCAAGTTTTAGGAATTATGAATAAAGCTGCTACAAACATCCGAGTGCAAGTTTTTGTGTGGACATAAGTTTTTTGGCTCCCTTGGCTGAACACCCAGGAGCATGAGGCTGATCTCGTGGTAAGGGTGTTTCTGCGTTCCCACCAGCAGCGAGTGAGCGCTCCTGTTGCCCCACGTCCTCGTCACCATTTGGTGTTGTCAGTGTTCAGGATTTTCATTCTAATAGGTGTGTGATATGAGTGGTATCTCCTTGTTTTAATTTACATTTCCCTGATGACAAATGATGTTGACCCAGAAGATCGTTTAAACTTCTCCCTCAGGGTAAGGGAAGAAGGGTCCAGAATCTGTGTGCACAGCTGGGCCGTGCGGCAAACACGGGGCCACCTGGGCTGGCTCTGAGAGGCCTGGTCATTTCACTAACAGACCACACTGACCTGCACTTGCAAGGACAGAACCCTCCAACCTCCGCCCCCGCCGCCTCCCTCCTCCACTCCAACCCTCTGGACAACCTCACTGTGACCCCAGGAGCTAAATGGCACCATATGCCAAGGACCCCAACCTCGGCCCCAGAGCCGACACTCACCTCCCACGTGTCACCTCTCCACTGGGTGTAGGCAGCGGCCACAGCAACCTGGCCCCAAAGAGGCCGTCCACCCAGGTGCCCAGGCCCCAAACCCAGGGGTCACTCCTGACCCCATTCTTCCCCAAACAGCCCCACCTAAACACAAGAGCAAATCATTTTGGCTCTCTCTCTGTCAGTCTCCTGCAGCTGCAGTGGAAACACCACAACCGTGGGGCTTAAACCAACAGAAATTTAATCTCTCAGAGTCTGTCTGAAAGCCAGCACGTCACGCCCTCCAGAGGCTCCCAGGGCCTCCTGACTCGTGGCCACATCCCTCCAACCTCTGCCTCTGTCATCACGTGACCTTCCACTGTGCTTCAAATCTCCCTCTGACTCTGGTGTGTGTGTGTGTGTGTGTATGTATCAGTAGTTAATTCCTTTTTGTTTTTTTTTAAATTGTGGTAAAATGCACGTAAAATTTACCACCTTAACCATTTTTCAGTGCACAGTTCAATGGTATTAAATAGATCCATATTGTTGTGCAGCCATCACCACCATCCATCTCCATAACCTTTTCATCTTATAAAACTGAAACTCTCCTCATTAAACAATAACTCCCCATGTGCCCTCCTCCATGCCCCTGGCAACCACCATACTACTCTGTCTTTATGGATGTGACTCCTCTAGGGACCTCATATAAGCGGAATCCTACAATATTTGTCTTTTTGTGATTGGCCTATTTCACTGAGTATAACGTCCTCAAGGTCCATCTATGTTGTAGCATATTGCAGAATTTCCTTCCTTTTTTAAGGCTGAATAATATTCCATTGTATGGATGGACCACATTTTGTTTACCCTTTCTTCTGTTGATGGACACCTGAGTTGCTTCCACACTTAAGTTATTGTAAATAATGCTGCTGTGAACATGGATTCACAAATGGGTGTCACCACTGGGTGTACAAATAACTCTTTGAGACCCTGACTTCAGTTCTTTTGGGTATATACTCAGAAGTGGAATTGCTGGATCACATGGTAATTCTATATTTAATTTTCTGAGGAACCTCCATATTGTCTTCCACAGTGGGTGCACCATTTTACATTCCCACCAGCAGTGCACAGGGTTCCAATTTCTCCACACCCCCGCCAGCACTCATTTATTTATTTATTCTAGAGCAGCCATCCTATGAGAGTGAGGGGTATTGCACTGCAGTTTGGATTTGCATTTCCTTAATGATTAGTGATGCTGACCATCTTTTCTTGTGCTTATTGGCCATTCGCAAATCTTCTTTGGAGAAATGTGTACTCAAGTCCTTTTTGCCCATTTTTGAATTGGGTTGTTTTTTTGTGTGTTGAATTTTAGGAATTCTCTATGTATTCTGGATGGTAATCCCTTATCAGATACATTACTTGCAAATACTTTCTCCCATTTTGTACAAAATCTTTTAATTTTCAGAAAGTCCAATTTGTCTATCTTTTCTTTTGTTACCTATGCATTTGGTGTCATCCAAGAAATCATCACCAAATTCAATGTCACGAAGCTTTTCTCCTATGTTTGGAGGAAGATTAGCCCTGAGCTAACATTCGTTGCCAATCTTCCTCTTTTTGCTGAGGAAGATTAGCTCCTGAGCTAACATCTGTGCCCATCTTCCTCTATTTTCTACGTGGGACGCCACCACAGCATGGCTTGGTGAGTGGTGCACAGGCCCACGCCTAGGATCGAACCTGCGAACCCCGGGCTGCCTAAGTGGAGCACGAACTTAACGGCTATGCCACTGGGCCGGCTTCTCTGTTTTCTTTTAAGAGTTCTAGTGTTTTAGGTCTTATGTTTAGGTCCTTGATGCATTTTGAGTTAGTTTTTGTGTATGGTGTTAGGTAAGGGTCCAACTTCATTCCTTTGCATGTGGATATACAGTTCTCTCAGCACTATTTGTTGAAAAGACTGTCTTCCCCATCGAATGGTCTTGGCACACTTGTCAAAAATCATTTGACCACACATGTGGAGGTTTGTTCTGGGCTCTCTGTTCTATTCCCTTGGTCTGTCTTTGTGCCAGCACCACACTGTTCTGATTACTATAGCTTTGTGGTGAGTTTTGAAATCAGGAAGTGTGAGTCCTCTAGTTTCTTCTTCTTTTTCAAGATTATTCTGGCTATTTGGGTCCCTTGAGATTTTGAATGAATTTTAGATGGGTTTTATAATTTCTGCAAAAAACATCATTGGGATTTTGATAGGAATTGCACTGAATCTGTACAGCATTTTGGGTAGTAATGGCATTTTCACAATATTAAGTCTTCCAATCCATGAACTTGGGATGCGTTTCCATTTATTTATGTCCTCTTTAATTTCTTTCAGCAATTTTTGTAGTTTTCATTGTACAAGTCTTTCCCCTCCTTGCTTAAGTTAATTCCTAGGTATTTCATTCTTTTTGATGCTATGGTGAATGGAATTTCCTTTTCAGATTGTTCACTGCTTGTGTACAGAAAAGCGACTGATTTCTGTGTTGACTTTGTATCCTGCTACTTTGCTGAATTCATTTATTAGTTCTAACAGTTTGTGTGTGTGTGTGTGTGTGTGTGTGTGTGTGTGTGTGTGTGTGTAATCTTTAGGATCTTCTACATATAAGATCATATCATCTGCAAACAGAGAAATTTTCACTCTTCCTTTCCAATTTGGATGTGTTTTCTTTCTTTTTCTTGCCTACTTGTTCTGGATAGAACTTCCAGAATTATGTTGAATAGAAAGGGTAAAAGTGGGCATCCTTGCCTTGTTCCTGATCTTAGAGAAAAAGCTTTCAGTCTTTCACCACTGAGTATGATGCTTGTAGCAGGTTTTCACATATGGCTTTTATTTTATTTTACTTTCATATATGGCTTCTATTGCTAGTTGAGTGTTTTTATTACGAAATGGTGTTGAATTTTGTCAAATGCTTTTTCTGCATCAACTGAAATGATCACGTGGTTTTTCCTTCATTCTGCTAATGTGGTGTATTACATCTATCGATTTCATATGGTGAATCATCCTTGCGTTCCAGGAATAGATCCCACTTGGTCATGGTGTAAAATCCCTTTAATAGCTGCTGAATTCCGTTTGCTGGTATTTTCTTTTTTTTTATGTGAGGAAGATCAGCCCTGAGCTAATATCCATGCTAATCCTCCTCTTTTTGCTGAGGAAGACCGGCTCTGAGCTAACATCTATTGCCAATCCTCCTCCTTTTTTTCCCCCAAAGCCCCAGTAGATACCTGTACGTCACAGTTGCACATTCTTCTAGCTGCTGTATGTGGGACGTGGCCTCAGCATGGCTGGAGAAGTGGTGCGTCGGTGCGCGCC